TGTGTGTTTAATGCTCGGGCCTCTTTTTACAGTAAAGCCGCCCGCGGAGCCTGGAGCGGGGTCGGACCCGACGCGGCGGGTGGGTTTGCGAGGCCCCAGGCTGGGGGACCCGGGCGACGCTGCCGCGGGGCTGTCCTAGGGCGTCTCCAGCACCGCCTTCGCCCCGCTCGCGTCTGCTAGCTCTGCGGGACCCGAACTCGCCGGCTTCGACACCCCGGAGTGTCCAGACCGTGCGAGCCCAGGACGGGACGACAGAGGCTCGTCGATCGCGGGGCCGAGCTACAAAGAAGCGCGCGCTGGGGCCGGGCGCGGGGCGCAGGCCGGGCCTCTGCTGCTGCGGCGCAGCGCCCGGTGCACCGTCCCAGTGCTCTGTGGCCAGGGGCTGGAGGCTCCGCGGCCCCTCTCCAGGGCTGTTCGGCTGTTCTGGGGTGGGGGGAGAATAATGGCACCCGGAGCTGACAGCAGCCACGAGTCCGAGGACTCAACCCCCCCCCCCGCATGCGCGCGTACACACACACACACACACACACACACACACACACACACACGCACAATGAGCTACCTTGAGGGCTGCTTCGGGGAGCGCCCGACCCTCCCAACAGTCTAAAAGGCACTAAGGCCCCCCTACCCATTCCCGAAGGGGCAGGGGTGGCGACTGGAGGAGGCGGGGAGAAAGCACAATCCCTTTCTCCCTTTTGGCGACGGTACAAATGTCAGGGGCGCAGATCATGGTTAGCCGCCTGCGAGGGGGTCCCGGGCTGGCGAGGCGCACGGTAGGGACATGGGGAGGGGACCGGGGCGCCTGGCCGCCGCCGCGCTTAGCGTCCCTGTGGCTGGCGTTGCGCGCCGCGCTCCTACCTGCAAGGCGCAGCGCCGACATGCGCTGGAACTCAGGCTCCTGCAGCCACTTCCACATCCTGCGGAAGGTCTCGCGGCCGGACTTGAGCTTGCTCCACGGCTTGGGGTTGCGCAGCAGGTCGGAGAGCGTGCCCTGCGAGCGGCACAGGATGCGCTGCGCGAAGATGGCCTGCGGGATGCTGTAGCGCTTCAGCTCCGCCGTGATGCGCTGCGCCACTTCCTTGGTGTTGATCTCCTCGGCCGCCGCGCTCGAGCCGGGGCC